TCGTGACGTCATGCTTCATCACGATAATGCCGCAGCACATAAGGCAAGAATCGTAACGGAATATCTGCATAACGAACGAGTGGAACTTCTCCCCCACCCACCATATAGTCCAGACCTTGCTCCTTGTGATTTTTTCTTATTCCCTCGAATCAAAAAAGAACTGAAGGGAAAAAGATTTGATAAGATCGAAAATTTGGCAAGGGCTGTTCAGGCAGTTGTTGAAGGCATCCCAAAAGAGGACTATGAGAACTCTTTCCAGAGTTGGCGAAATCGGCTAGAACGTTGTATAGAGTTTAATGGAGAGTACTTTGAAGGAATGAACTAATTGTATTGATAACTATTATGTAATTTCTGGAAATAAATGTCCACGCGCAAAACTTTTCAGCACCCCCACGTAAATAAAGAGACGAGCACGTGTTTACGTGAAATTTTAACTGCGCGTTTAAAAAAAACTACACACAAGGAAACGGGTTTTTCGCTATCATTGCTGTTTATAAGCCCTTTTTGAAGCTTGCGCAACGCAATGATAATGACTGTCAAAAGGCCTAATGGGAGTGAAAATTTCTATGTCCAAGTAGCGGCTGCGAAGAGACCTGTTACCACTGCTGTTTATAAGCCCTTTTCGAAGCTTGCGTAACGCAATGACTGTCAAAAGGCCTAATGGGAGTGAAATTTCCATCAAGTAGGCGACTACGGACTTCAATGAATGTCGAATGCTCAAGGTTAGTTTATTTATTTATTTTTCTACGCGTTCACGAAATTTATTATTTAACTACTTTCAGATGTCAAGAGAAGCGAATAATAGTAAGTTTGATTATTTTTTCGTTTTGCTTCCACGAGGCAGATAAAAGGATTCACTAACTGGGCATCACCATTTTATATAGTTTGCAGGATCGATTTCGGTATGCGCATTTTTGGGGAAGTTATCGCATTACGAAAATCTGATCAATGGCTCCTCCTTAATAAAAGAATTTTACGCTATCCCGATGAAGTTGTGATCTCCTTTAATCCTGACTCGACAAAAGGGTTTTATTATATAAGTAACTATATAATTGGTACCGAAGAATGGTACTGTGCATTTCAAATTCCGAATCGATAACATCATTATAATGAGAATTATTAGCATACACGCTCACTTCACATCCCACATTCATTCATCACACGAAAAAAATAGTCATGTAAATACCGAAAAAGAGAACGACCATTTAGGTCTGATTGCTTTATTAATACAGTATAGCGCCTAGGGACATCTAAAATACTTGTACATCTGGGGATCTATCGGATCTATATGTTATTATTGTCTGATGTTTCTGTGAGATTAATACCCCCGATTGGTCTTCACCTAATAACCAGATAATATGACCAAGGATTTTTTCTGTTTTGATTTTCATATCCGCGTCTTCATAGCAACGGTGAGAGGTTTCGATAACTTAAATAACGGTTTCCCCTCATTGTCTAACGAACATTCCATGAACCATTTTTCAGCATTTGGTACAATTTACCTACATCATGCTCGTCTTCTATTTCGTTTGTTTTTCGTTTACGACATGTTAGGGATGATTCCGTCTGCTGTTTGAAGTCATCTTTTTTGACTTCGACCAAGCCAATTATTCTCCCAGTTCTGTGTGATTCCATTCCATAGTCAAGATTTCCCTGTCCGTTCTTACCCTCGATCGTTCTCTCTGGTGCGATTTTTATTTGACTTTTGAACGGATAGACTGCAGATGCGAGGAATAGATACTTTTCGTGACCTCGTAAGAAGTCAATGAAGGTTGTGGCAATACGTGTCTCCAACTCATCGAAAAGCTTTCGCAACAATTCTTGATATTTCTCATTCTTCATGTTAACACAACCGCATGTAAAACGGGGTACACATCAATGCTTGGATTAGGATTATCGCTAAGTCCTAGAGTTCACATACTTTTGAGAATGTCTATTCGTTAAATGGCTTTGAAGAAGTTTCAATGAACACAGTGAACTTAAAACTACTCTTTGATATTAGCAACCGAACATCTCCCGAAATAAAACATCGTTCCTAGGCGAATATCTATCTCCGTCATTCAAGAAGTTAAATAACACAGCCGGATTTTCCAAAGCGGGTGTCTTGAACACGGCAAATATATCATTCTAAGATTCTCGAGGGTTGCTTGTTCGATGTTTACGGTCCACTTGAATCCTTTTGTCCGCTTTGGACTCACGATAACGTCGAACTCTGCGATACAAAGGTTTGGTTAGTAAACAAATTTTGCCAAGAAATTTTTGCTTCGCAGGCATATAGTGCCTATACATATACGTATCATGGACAGACTTGTTAATCGATGCCTTCAGCGATTCGGTCAAGCAATTCCTGCTCACGACAATGACATGGATATGCCTCTTGGGTGGCTTCTCGGACCAGTAATCTTCTACATCTCTGGTTGCAAGGAGCTTCGTCCCTATCATTGAGTGTGAGATTGCTTAACCTGATCTTCACCTTCCATAGCTTGAGCTTGTCTGCGGGAAAATTATCGAATTCAGATGCCGTTTTCGCCTTTTGAGGTCTCCAACAAACTGGTCCTTATCAATATGAACAGGGAAGGCGTTCGCGGTTGTATTTCCTTTGACGAGCACAGAATAAAGCAAAGCAGTTGAGTAAAAAAAGACACTTTCCAAGTCTTATTGTGTCTGATTGTTAATACATTGTACCTACTTGTAATAGCCACTTGAAGCATATCAATATCATTTGATGGCTGATGGTGCGAATTAATTGCGCGATTATCTTTTCATTTAAAACAAATTCGGTATTGATTATCAACCTTAATTCGATATTCTCCTTTCCGTTCACCTTTTAAAGGTTTGAGAGTTTTACCGAAGATTTGTTGTAGATAAGGAAAATGATTGGTAGAAAATAGAATCATTTCGGTTTTGGCTCGTTCGGATTGGTGGTCAAATAAGAATAATTGAATTAAGCGAGAGGGGTGGGTTTGATGTTTCTATGCATTGTTATCATCTTTACGAACCTGTTATAAATAATAGACTTGTCATTCATAATAATAGACTCATTCGGCATTCGTAGATTAAAAAAGCAATTGAAAGAAAATTAGTCAATTCTTTCCGCATCGTGTGGAGGACGAACAAATCATGTCTTCCGGTCTTTCCTTGAAAAGTTTCTCACCTAGACCTTGTATTCTTGCGCTAGACAATGTGCGCGGCATTTTTGGCTGCTTCTACTCCGTCGATAGCGTCCTCAAAGACCAAACAATTCTTTGCAGGTGGAGACCCTAGTCTTTCATGTGCAAGTTTCCAAGGAGGAAGTTGCTTGATTTTGAATATTCTTAACTAATGACATAATACTGAAATAAAAGGCTTTTTAAGCAACGAGATCATTCTCAACAATTAAATGATCGTGTGCTTTTATATTATTTCTATTTATGCTTACAAAAATTAAATTATTTTTACATTGTTTGCGCAAGTGTGTTAAAAGCAAAATGCTCAACGGATGCGCTTAAGCAGTCTTTTATCAGGACTGTAGGGAACGATTAGTGGAAGCTTTTACGTTAAATTGCTTCCTTTCCGTTTCTTCAAGTTTCGCTTTTTCTCAGTTTATTGAATGTTGATTCTAATGCTCATTTATTAATTATAATTTTCCTTGCCTCTAGTAAATTTTACAAGTAATTTTTTCTTGATCTAGATACAAGTGGGACCGCCACTTGAGCGTTCTTGAAATATCATGCGTTAATAACGATGGACGATGAAGTATAAAGTGAATTTCTAATTATTATTATGTAGGTGGTTAAAAATTTAGTGAATCCGTAAAGCGCATGTGCCGGGAACATGTGGGCAGTTTGAGAGATGGGAGAGTTTAATTAATTTGAAGTTCGTGAGACTTGCCACACAAAACTCTGGCCCATTCGCGATGCAAAGTCTGCTGATTGAGTATTTAACGCTAGACTAAGACATTTTCCGCAAACGTAATGAAACCAATATAACATCCCATTGTCAGCACAAGAATTATAGGCAGGAATGATCATACGCAGTAAATACGTAAGCTTCATACTGCTTGATTTTCAAACATCTGATTTGATACATGCACAACGTGATATGCTCCATGATGCGCAGCAAGATATAAACGCGCACACGTTCTTTTGGTCGCCGACGACTACCGACAAAACCACCCAAATGCTAACAAGGATGAGATCAGAGCAACATATCAGAAAATCCATCCATCCATCCCATTCATGTGAACAACCTGATATGCTGTTTACAGTTAATACTTCTTTCTCCTCTTTCATTTATTTTTTTTCTGTTGTCAACCCTACCTTGTTAGGTAAAGAAGCCGTCGGTAGATCGTACTGAAGGTGAAGAAGAGGAAATTGTCCGGGTGGCTTTTAATAGACCGTTTCCAAGTGACCTGTCAGAAAGATTCAAGACCTTTATTGACAAGTGTTCATATGAATATGACACGACAGGCTATTATGCACCATACACAACCTTAATTCAAGCCAGTGGCACAGGAAAATCCAAATTGTTGAAGAATTTTGCGCAAAGTAGAATGACTGTATATTGCTGTTTGCGTGAGTTTGAAAATGAATATGATACCTTAGTTACCTATCTTGCATACATATGGGCATGTTGTCAAAATTCAATGGGAGTTGCGAAGCGTGGTTTGATGAACATACTAACAGAAAATCACAAGTGAATTTTTGGAAGGACGTTGAATACAGGATGACTGATATTATGCGTGTGCTTACAGAGAATCCTATAAACAGCAAGATGACTGAATGGATCACTATGGCAGAAAATTGGGTGATGAGGGAAAGTTCAGTTACATGTTTGTTTGCCTTTCATGAAGCTCGTTCCCTGGCTGATAAGAAAGTAGGAATGCTCTGATTCGTGGTGTTGCATTTTCATGTAAACGGAACCAACGGGGAGTAGACATCATCATACCTATATATAGGCACTATTCATGAAAAGCTTAAACGAAGATCGTACTAATACAGGTTAAAAATTGGGATACGGATAGTAAGGGCGATAACTATTTACTCTCTTTGCTGTCACCAGCCTTCCAATGTGCCGTGTACTTGCAGTTAGGTGCAACAACAGCATTTGTTGACAGTTCAACTTGCTAAGGTTAAGACAAGCGAAACACGTCAAATTAATGCATGCAAACGTCAAATCGAAGCAGTGCTGAAAAGTTACCAAATAGATGATGGCAAAACACGAAGTGACTTTATCAAGAAGATTAGAATCGATGGCAATAAAGATGACGTTTCTGATGCTGAAATCACGGCGTTCCGAGGTGCCGCTTGCATTATTCGGATTGTCTTCGAACGTTTAGAACAGTCTATGCCGGTCTCTGCGACTTTATCTTCGACCACCACTAGGAATCTCACAAGTAACTGTTGACTGCTTGGGTCGATCCCACCACGTTAGGGGAAAAACAGAAAAAACAAAGATAATTAAGTGCATGGAACCATTGGTATATGAGATGGAGTAATAAAGTACTTATCATAAGACTAAATGAATACTGAACAGTACATTAGTGGGGAGGAATGTTGCAAATCTCAGTATTTTCAATAAAAAGAAACTACTACCGATTCGATTGCAATACTTTCGTGAGTCGTTGATTGCTGACTAAAGAACAATGTGCCTTCAATTGACACAGTGTATAAAAGACAGTTTAGCAAAATTAATGCATTACAATATGCGCATTTGTTACAACGTGTAATAAGGCGTTTCGTGCTATTGCCTGAAAGATAGACTAGTGAATATTATCGCATCACCTATATATCTATTTTCGTTTATCCATTTGAGTAACATTGACTAACTAGCGCTTCCTTCTTTTCTGTGCACGTCACACTTGCCTTCAGTTAATTTTTAGGTCGAATAACTTAACTTTAGTTTGTCGGTAACCCAAAGTTGATCGTATAGAATTATATCATATTACTAGCTAACACATTTGTAATTTTTTATAAACACGTTGTACACTAGATTGCGCGCTGACTTTAGTACTAGTCTCATGGTAATTGCATTGCTCGTTATGTCAACATTTGCATTTAGTTGTAAATTCAGGGTCGGTAACTACCGAACAGTACCATAGATGTAAAATTCGATTTTTCAACGAAGAAGTAAGATATGCGGGCAATTTTGCAACATGATAGCGCTTATTTTGCGCTTTTTGGATGAATATAAATTTTTGTAAAGTTGTATGTGGATTAATTTTAACGGTATTTTTAATATTCAAGCCGCATGGTCTAATTATAGCGATTTTGATAATAATAAGATAAAAGTCGGTCCTAGGTAAATTCGCGACTATACTACTTAAAATATCGCAAGTTTTTGTCCGCATATTACCTGTAAGGCGCGCTAAGCTTAATATTAATTTTATGGCAATGCATTGCTCGATAAGCCAATATTCAAACGTAGGGGGTGGTCGGTGACTTTTGAGACGGCACTGTACAAGCAAGAGATGAAGAAATAAGGAGAATCAACATCAGCATTATGTTCTTCGTTTAGATCTAAGAAAAATGACCGCCAGACGATTGCTCAATACTGTCACGAACCACTTCGTTTTTATATCAGGCTCCTACACAATAATGCTGTTGATCGCTATAATAATAGTACAAATGCCGTTATCTATTAACATCTATAACAAAAAGCACGAATAATAGCCTATTTAAAAGCTGAAGAGATGTACATTCTAATGACATTATTAAAAAGTCGATTCAAAATACGCTCTCCTTTAGTTTTTAAACAGGTTACATTTTTGTTTAAATTAAATTATAGTCTGTTTTAGTCAAATTATACACTCGTCAACTAACATTGGTTCCATTCAGCCAAAATTCGCGCCTTGACCTACCCATACTTCGTACTGCTGTCCATAAACTTTAACCGGGCACAAGTCAGAGGTATTGGCTATTCTGTCCATAGCCTGTAAGATACGTATTTCAGGAAGTAAATTAGCTTGTATTTTTCAAACTTTGTCATATTAATACAATTCATTTATAATGCACGAGATAAACAGCCTGGAGAATTTACGGGACAGAATTATTTCATTTTTGGTTAAATGTATACATTTAACAAAAAAATTACAGTTTCTGGTATCATACTGTACATAGCAATAATAGGCATGTAAACAGCTATTCTTAAACTACAATAGCATAGTTTCACAAATTCAAAGCTTGGATAATTTCCGCGTCTAACGGTTGTAAGTATCCAGAACTGTGATAATATATTTTTCCTATTGTACGTATTACGTACTATGTATCTTAGTCTTTAATTTTCTGCTTATTCATATTCTCCTGTTTCCATTTGGGAATAACAATGATATCAATATACCTCGATTGAACGTCTGGGTTTACTGTTAATCGCTGTTTTCTTTTTATGTTAATTATGACTCTGCCACAATTCTGTTTGCAAGATGCTCAGCATAGATTTACCGCGGAGGAATCAGATTGGGTTTCACGTGTTTCTAGTTCCATAAACTTCTTTCTTTGCGAAAGGCTAACGCGTCCTCAGATGGAAGGTAATATAACCGTCTTTGTGCAATTTTTGAAGGCTATTTTGGCACAAGCTTATCAAACGTCTATGTAAAGCTGCATACAGTAACTAATTATAATAGTCTTTTAATCTCACGTACAAAGTTAGTTACGGTTCGAAGAAAGGATCTGGTTATGTTGAACTAAAAAGATTACAACCGAAACCGATGAACCAAAAAAGAGCGTTTGCAGCGTGTTTCCTATCAATTACAAACGTTTTACTCCAAGACAACCTTGAGGTTAGGCCGAATATTAACTTATTTGTGATTGAACATCGGAGCATAGTGATTTAAGATGAGCGTGGTTAACTAATTCGTCTATTATTATTGAAGCAGATTGCGCGATATGTATAAATGTTTTGATTACTAGTCTGGTTATAAATCAGTACGCTGACTGATCGTCATTCTCGTTATTAGATATACAACCAATGTTAAAGAATGAGAGACTTATTTAAAGATCACGTTTCAAAAAGAGACTCTTGACGGCGAAAACAAATACAAGATCGAAGGATGTGAGTAAGCTAAACGGTGCATTTACCAGATAATGTTAGTATACTGTCCACTGAAAATATTTATTATTAATGTTATCACAGGAGGCGAAGAAATGCGTTATGTTCGACACGTTTCCTCCAGTATATGCTCTGCAGATTTTTTATTCGCTTTAATTTTTATTCTCTTAGAACTTTCCATCGTTTCTAATAGTATGCTATGTTGGTTAACTGAATTATTTTACACTAGCATCTTGTTTACGTATTTGTGCGATGCTCAACTAGTGAATCCAAATGTGCCACATTGGGCAACGCTGCGAATAGTGTTTGACGCAGAATGTCATGACACCTGACAGTATAGCAATAAAGACGTTCACGAATTGCATTATTCAAAAGATTTTTATTATTTCAATCAATTGTTCCTTGACATGGTAAATGTTAGTTTTAAGTACACGTAGATTTTAAAGTGTTTCTTTAAACATGTCACTGACAAGTAACGCGTGATATTAACCGAGTCTAAAACTTATTACTGAGTTTTACATGGAGGAAAATGTAATTCGTTCGTCCACACTACTCAAATTTTGCATCTCACTGTAAATAAATTTGCGCTGCTGTATTAATTAAAAGAAAATTTCAATAGCAATGCGTTCTTTATGACAAGACATTTATAATCTTGTCAGTCAGCGAACTATTCGAGAAACGCACGTTATCCTTAGAGTAGACGCGTTCTCACGTGTTAGAGAACATATATCGGTCGTTATATAACGTTGGAACGTGATAGCTATAGGGACTAAGTTTACTACAGAACTTTTGAAATGCCAAGCTACTGAGTTCTGTGGGTAACGTTATTTTGAGGCTTTCTATTAATGAAAGTATAAAATAGAATTAACTGTTCAAAGAACGAATTATTGGACGTAGAGGAAGAAAATCGACTGTGCCCAAAATCTTTCTATGTGATAGGGCCACGCCTGAAAGCACTACAGTCAACCTCCCCCACAGTCACCTCTTATATAGTCACACCCCCATACAGTCACAGGCTGCCAGTCATTTTCATAGTAATTTACCTCCTTTACAGTCACAATATTATTATAGTCACAGTCACCCGATTTGAATCCCCTTTCCTTGATTTTAAATGCACGTGTTACAGTCAAAGCTCGGAAAACCGATAGCAGTGTTTTCGTCTCTTTCTATCGGTTTTGCGAATAAATTTCGAAAAACCGATGTAGAGACGTAGTATTGGTTTTGAGAGATTATTACATTTTATTGGTGGAAGCAATTACATAGCAAATTAAGAACTGTGGAAATTTCTGATTTCAATGAACGCAGAACTGACACTCGGCGAATCATTGACAAATGGCGTTAGGTTGTCCACGCCTGCTAAAGAAGCTGTAGTTCATATTCCTTGTCACTTTTTTCTTTGCCTTTATCGGTTTTCTGAGCTTTGACTGTATTAATCATATCATGCTTTGTAAAATATAACTTTATTGATTAAATATCGCTGCAAGTCGAAAATAAAAATATTTTCAAAAAATGTCAAAGCATTTATCTAAAACACGATCTCAACTGAGTATAGAAATAAATGTAAAATTTGTGAATATACTAGGCGAGTGAAGCATAGCGATATGATAAATTATTTAATGAGAAGTTTAATCTTATGATTGATAGTTCAACTGTTAGCAAATCAAACAATGTAGGCATAGATGTTAGTGACTTGCAAGTATATGAATTTACTTAACCTCAAAGCATTAACAAAATACCTTAGTGCTGGTTAGATACATCCGTTGGTTTTAATAAAATTACAGATAATAACATAGGTCACATGACTAATATAATCCCTTCTAGACAGTCACAGGTTTGGTCCCAATTGTGTGACTGTAGGGGAGGTTGACTGTAGTTCTTTTCATAAATGCTAGTTACGTAATAAGTCTCATAGATGCACCACTATCGTCGCCAATTCCAATATACCTGTCTTTATTTTATCCGGCTTCTCTTCCGCCGACGTTTACGTAGACTGGTTCTGATTTTCATCTTCTTAACTCTTTTGTTCATTATCTTCCGTCGGCTCACGTATCACCTTCCCGCACTTTCCTCCGATCAACTGTTTCCCCGTCCTTTTCACAATATATCTCAGCATAAAGCACGCATTTGTAATAGCAATAATCTCTGCTCGTACTGGTTGGCAGGATATTGGAAAGACGATGATTTGAAGAGACAGAAATTATATCATGATGTCGTTTCGATTGAAGTGCCGATTGGAATGACCGTTACGTTGTTGACGAACGAGACGAGAAAGATATTTCAGTACGGTTTCGGGGAATGCGTTGATGAAGACACTTGCAGATATGTGAGTAGATTAAACATCGAAGGTACTGGTAATGAGCAACGGAAGAAACTATACTATGCGAAAAAGGACGGTTTTGAGAGCAGAGCTAAATCTATGAGATCTGTAAAACCAGGATGTCTACTTTAGGTCTTAATCTAATTGTGTTTGCGTTTCAAATAGTGGACTTGCGACTAGCCTTGGAACAGATTCATACATACAGTAAGTTAATAAGCATCCGTCTCGATTGTGCTTGACGTTTGTAAGTAACGGCTTTTTTTTTTTCAGTTGATGACAGAAAATTAGAAGAACTTATTTATTATCACAAGTCACAGTTTACGTTCATAGAATCGGATGTGACCTTAATTAGCCAGTTTACAGTCAATAGATTAGAGCGTTTCGAGCAGGCATTGGGTGCATGGTCAGGCCCTGTATCAGCCGTAATGTGAGCAATAGCATATTTATGGCTGGAAATTTTTGTCAAGCTACGTACACGCAGCGTCTAACATACTTCTCTTCCTGGTTTGATAATAGTTATCTAATTTCCCCACATGATATTGGCGTGCTAATTACATACTTTTCGATGGATAAGAATGCTTACTTATACAGTCGAGTTGATCTTACTATAGTCAAGCCAGATTACTCAAACGGTATTTACCTCAAATATCCGATCAACAAACTTCGTAATATCGGAATAGAGGCCGCACCAACGAACTACATATTTGTTATGGATGCCGACTTCGTTCCTACACCGCAACTATACGAATTCGCCGTTTCGTACGTAGTACCACAGCTGCAAACACTAGAACGACCAACAGTGTTTGTTGTGCCGTGTGTCGCATTGGTTGAAGATTATAAGGGACGACCTCCAAGAGATATAAGCGATCTTAGGCGATTGTATTCTAACGGTTGGGCGTACGTCACTGATCCACGAGCAGGGCATGGGCCAACAGGGACCAAGCTGCTTTTATCACATCCGTTGAAAGTGTCTCGGCCGTATTATGAAGTTTGCTATGAATCCCAGTGGGAGCCATACTATATATTACCGAAGAGTGCGCCGATGTACGATGAGCGGTTCAGGAACCAAGGAGGGGATAAACAACAGCATACGTTAGCCCTGAATGCCCTTAAATACAGATTCCTCGTACTTAGGGAACATTTTATATATCACTTGGACCATGCCAAGCTTCTGTGGCCCGGAGGAGGTTTTAAGCATGCACAATTGACGGAGAAAGAATTTACGTATTTTGAGCATTATATTCCAGAATTGGAAAAGAAATTTGGTATCACTGTTAGGTGGCCGCGAGGGTGTTCTCGGGCACTTTTTAAGGATCAAATGCGAGATTTGGTTGGGATTGGAGTCGGATAAAACGATTTGGATTCGTAGTTTCTGGTACTAATCTATTCCAAATTACTAAAAATTACTAAAAGTAGATTTAATAACGTAGAATAATTTGACTAATTGGAAATCAGTAATAGAAATTGTTGATATAGACCGATAATATACCGTGATTGATTTGATTGGTGAACGTATATCCAATGACAACACGTTATGCCATAAAATTCAAATTTTCGAGCTGCAATGGTTCCTCACGTGGGAGTTTCATTAATTTATAAAGTCTTAAACATGCACGCGGCAACTTTAAATTGGTATCTTCGAGTTGGTAGGCCATCTGCCTACAGTTTGTCTTACCTTTTTAATTCAAATATGCTGCGTACCTTTTAAGAGCCGCAGAATATCTAATTTTAGAACATAAAATTTTTGTTCTCTAACTTCTGTTAAAGCTGACAAAGTTAAGGAGAGGGAATTACTAACATTTCAAATATCCGTCTGACCACTAAATTGTAATATAATAGTAAACAAAGACGTTGTACCACAGCCACAAAGAGAACTTGAACTTTCTGCAGATTTAACAACCGTCAATCGGAAACCAATCGAACGCTGTGTGCTGAGTGCCATATGCCGAATACCGAATATCGAATGTTGATTTCGAACAAGTCTTGTAGTAGATATCGTCGAGAGGGAAACAAATCATCTAGTCTGTAATGTCACTAATCTCTTTTCCCATCAGTAATCCGAATACATCCTGAGATGCAGAGTCGAATACATAATAATAATTTGAAATTAGTCCGGAGACATCAATCCGTTGAATGGAAAATGATCGGCACACAACAACGGAAACAAAGACATTATCTGAGGGCCAGACACCGAATAACAATGGTAAATTAAACTGTCTGATTTGCTGATATGATGCCATTATTACAAAATAAGTGATCTGCATGATAATGAGAGTTGATGTTACTGTTTTTCAGCCATGCTCCGTGTTACAATAAAATTTGAAATTTGGATGACATCAAAGCATGGAACGGGGGTCGGAGGCATATCTCACTCACAATATTACTCGACGGAATACTCGTTGGACCAGACAAAGATTTCGGAAATTCAACTCCGTAGTCAGCATTGCCTTGTTTGTTGTATGTTCCGGGAATATGTCAATGGTTTCTTTTTTCGTTATTTTTAGTCATAAAAAGTCTCCTGGAATACAACATTCAATTAAAAATAAAGTACGGCGATACTACTTAAGATCAACCGATCTAAATCAACCGTGTAGCGCACAGCCGAAGTATGCTTGAACAACGTTGCTAATGCCTCCTATTTTCAGTTTTATTTGGGGTTTATTACGTACTCAAGTGATACACTTGATTGACGAACACATCCATTTGTCAGCTTATTCATAAATCTATGGAAGCAAAAGCTTCTCCCTCGTTTATGCAAAGCAGTGTCACTGGTATCTTTCCGTATATCCGATATTTCTGACCAGTTACACTTAAGTCAGAACAGATTACTGATGCCAGAATTCACAATGTGGTTTCCATCGCATCTGACAGAGACCAATCGGGATGGTACAAAAGGTTGCCGCTCATGCAGAATATGATTAGCTAGCAAAATCCCTCATCACCTCCCATGATGGCGCCCTGACTAAGTCAATTTGAAATATGGCAAAAACTTTTTGATTCAACTATGCTTATCTTCGATGCGTCTGTAGAAACTTATGTAACAATTTGATGTCCTAACTATGACAAATACCCTATTCGTACACCGTTCGATTTGGATACATTCTCCCAATTAGGTATCAAATTCAAAATGCAAGTACGCATTTTTCCTTTCTAGTCGGTACTTCACTATATATGTACAACAAACCGC